CAGGGTTATATACTAGAATGTCATCAAAGAAAACAAGTATGAATTTGTGAAGATAGGGTCTAAAGACATCACTCATCAAGGCTTGGAATGTGGAAGGGGTGTTAGTTAGACCAAATGGCATGACTAGAAACTCAAAATGCCCATCATGAGTTCGAAAGGCTGTCTTGGATATATCAGTTGGATGTACTCTGATTTGATGGTATCTTGCACATAGGTCCAAGTTGGAGAATATGAGATGCATGCCTTAACTTGTCTAACAGTTCATATTACTGGGATAGGGAATTTGTCATGGACTGTGATTTTTTTAAGTGCCCATTAGTCAATACTGAAACACCATGATCTGTCCTTCTTTACCAAGTGAACAGGTGAAGAGAAAGGGCTAGTGCTCGGCTGAATCATGTTTTTTGTCCAGGAGTTCTTGAACCTGTTTCTCAATCTCTTGCTTCTGAAAAATAAGGGTATCAATAGGGCCTGTTGTTGGGTGGTGCTGCTCCCAGTAACAAGGGTATGTGATGGTCATGTACTCGGGTTGGAGGTAAAGTGGTGGATTCTTGGAAAACACCTTGAAACTCCAACAACAATTGTTGCAGGGCTGCTTGATGTTCAGTAGATCTGTTGGCCTCTTCTGCTATGGTTAGATTGGACTGTGTGGATAGGGTACCCATATGCATAAGCATCGTGTGACAACATTTCTGAATGGATGCTGGGTTGGTTTGGGTGAGACTCGAGGGAGCCAACCCTTGAATTTCAAAGCCCATTGTTAAATTGGCCCATCCACAAAGCACCAGACCCAATAGTCTTAACCACTATATGCCTAGGACTATGTCAGCCCCACTAAATTCTAGTGGGTACAGATCAACTGAGAAAATATGGGATTGGATTCTGAGATCAACCCCTATGCAAACTCCTTCACATTTCAAGTTATTGCCATTTGCTACATGTACTGTAAATAGTCTGGTGGGCTGAACCGGTAGTCCCAATTGTTTAACTAGAATACATGTGATAAAATTTAAGGTGCTACCACTATCCACTAGCACCGTTACAAGGCAGCCCCACAAGATGCCAAGAACTCTCATGGTCTATGCTGAAGAAAGACCTATTAAGGCTTCAAGATGAGATCTCGGATGATTTCAGTACCGGATCCCATATGCTATATGTTTCCATTGGTACCAGGTTCTGGTCATCTATTACTTAAAGAGGGTCCAGTCCATCAGTTTAACATGAAAGCTTGTTGGGTCTTACATTTATGTCCCAGTCCAAATTTTTCTTTGTGGTTGAAGCATATACCACGGTCTCATCGGGCTTGCATTTTGGTCCAGGAGAGTCTTTTTATGGGTACCTGATTCAGGTTCTAAGTTGTAGACCCATTACTTCCCTGGACTGGTGATTTTCCTAAGATGCCTTCAATTCTAGTGGCCTGGATATTGGGTTTGAAGGTCTGTCCATAACCCCGAGTTGCTCGCCGTAATTGGTCAAGCTTTTCTTCATGAAGTTTTGCTAATCCTATGGCCGCCAATACTGTAGAGGGTTGCAAAGCTTTTACCTTGAGACGTATCTCTTCCTTCAGACCGCCGACGAAGCATCCCACGAGTGCTTTCTCTGGCCATCTGTGCACTCGCATCGCCAGTCTTTCAAACTGGATCTGGTATTCCCTTACCGACCTTGTCTGCTTTACTCTTGACAGTGCTTCATCGAAATTCTTGAAACCTGACAGACCGAAGCGGATGTAGAGGGCCTTGGTGAAATCTTCCCAGGTCGGTTGGGGATGCGACCATTGGTACCACTAGATAGGTGGCTGCAATTACTACCCTTTGAGCCACCAGCGTTTCCTGGACCTCAAAATACCGCTCAGCTCAGAAAATCCAAGAAATCGGGTGTTCTCTGGCATATGATGGAAAATCAAGCTTCCCTAGTCTCCAATTGTGGTCGTCTGATCTCCTGCTACTACTGTGGTTGGACCCTTCTTCGTCACATTCTTTTTCCCTATTTTGGTTCGTCTGCTCACATCTGGCAGCAACCATTGCTATGGCCTCCTTTATTTCCTTAAGGTCATTTGCAAACTTGTGAATCTCGACCTCCATGTGATCAACTCGATCGTCCATGGCCAAAGCTCGTTTTGTTGGCATGGCTCTGATACCAACCTGTTAGGTACTGCCTAACTCAGAGACCATTTGAGGTGTCTAGCCTCCTGTTGTAAGAGAGAGAGAGAGAGAGAGAGAGAGAGAGAGAGAGAGAGAGAGAATATTAACTTCTGTTATTGATGTCTGTAGCAGTCTACCTTATATAGGCTTACACTGAATCAAATCTTGGATTCCGGCTCTTGGTTGTTACACTTCAGTTATGGCCATGTGGCTCTCTTGGCTTTCTTCTTGAATAAACCTTGATGCAACTTGGGTCTATTGCCTTCGTGGTTCTAATAGTGAATATTGTTACCATCAGCCACATGGACCATGAACGTGGGAATCGACTGGCAACTACTATCCATTAGCACAGAAATTGACCAATCCCTTAGAATGCCCTCCGTTCACATAATTTAGGAAGATGAGAGCTCAATAAGAGCCTATAAAAATATTTCTGGAAGTTGTTGGCCCACTTCCCCATTTACATCTGTAAGATATGAAGCTTCTGGCCCCTCTTCTCTAAGGTCATCCTCAAATTAGTCAGTTTGTAAGAGAAAGGCTTGTTGGTTCTTGCACTTGTGTCCCATGCTGAATTTATCATCGCAATTGAAACACAAACAATGCTCTCTCCGGGCCTGCATTTCATCCCACGAGAGCTTCTTGAATGGGACAATGGTTTGGGTTTTTATAGGAGGCTTAACCTATAAGGTTTTCACCCTTTGGGGGGTTTTCAAAAGTGGGCCGAGTGGTGGGCCTAATTGCACTTGTGCCGATTCAGCTTTTCTTCTTGAAGTCTGGCCTACCCTACTACAGCTAACACCGTTGGTTGTTGAAGGGCCTTGACCATCACCCATCTTCCTCCTTGAGCCCCCTTATGAAACATCCTAGAAGGGATTTTTATGGCCAACCTTTGGACTTGGGTGGATAATTTTTCAAATTCTACTAATAGTCTCTAATAGACCCAGTTTGTTTTAATTTCAACAGTATTCATCTTTTTTTTAAACAATAATCGGATTTCATTAAGATTAATATGGAAACAATACAAGAACAGGAGAGGTAAACTTTCTTAACTCCCCATAGTATAATTTAGCTATTACAATTGAGCCCAGAACAGATTACTCATTCCTACCCCTTGCTTTGCTAATACATCAGCAAACCCATTTGCAGTTCTTTTTACCCAATTAAACTTCACCTCCATATTTTGTGTCAAGCACTTGAACCTTTTATTTTCATTGTTAAAAATCCAAAAACCTTTTTCTTCCTTCTGTAGCCACTCCAGTACCAGCTTTGAATCACCTTCTATAATCAGCTTTCTTATATTTATGTCCTTTGCCTTTTGCAGTCCCTCCATGACAGCCAACACCTCAGTCCTTAATGAATCACCTACTCCAATTGGGCCTGAAAATAGGCCAACAATTCTGTCTTCATTGTCTCTAAACACCCCACCAATACCCAAGGGACCTAGATTACCTGTACTGCTTCCATCAAAGTTTAAATTTATGTAATCATTTACCGGCGGAGATCAAATAGGGCTTGTAGTGGATTTATGGTACTCAGCATTGGCCACTTCCTTCCAGCTTTTCAGGATATCCTAGTTGAGCATGCAGCCAAACATCTCCATGGATTTTATCCACTGTATCACTCTCACCATTATTGTTTCCTTGGCAGCCTCTCTAGTTCTTTCCTTACCTGAAAATAGTATTCATCATAATCATCAAACCCAGTAGGCCCAAACTGCACATAAAGGACCTTTGTAAAATTGACCCAAGAGGCCTGAGGTTGTCTCTGTGGAACCATTGGAACCACAAGATAGCCTTGCCCTCTAAATGGAAAGAGGCTATGGTACCCTTTGTTGTCTAGGTGTTTCGTGGAAGTCAAATTATCTTTCATCTTTAAAGATCCAAGGAACCGGATTGTCTCAGCATTAGGTAGGGAAATCCTGCTTGGCCAAGCACCAATCATGCCACTGCCCCTCCAATCACCACCCTAACTTCCTCCTTCTTGGTCATTGTTGTGGTTGCTGCTGGATGCATCCTTCTCCAATTGCACCACCACCGCCACCAAGGTCTCTTTACCTCCTACAAATCACTGGCGACCTTGTGTAACTGGATCTCCATATGGTCAACTCGACCATCTATTGACAATGACCAGGTACTTGACATTGGTGGCTCTGCTTCAAGGGTGGTGAACCTCTTGAGAACACATACACACACAGATGAATTCTTCTCTTCCCATTGCTTCTTATATCATTGACAATTTGTAACATAGTATAGGTTACAGAAACAGATTACAGTTAGAAGCTTGTCAACTTACACCAGTTGGTTGAGCTTCTTTCTGATGTGGCCGCCTTCTAGAATAATACCTCCATATGGGAGGCTTCTGAAGTTGATCAATTGAATCTTTGCTTGGTGTCCTAACACAAAACCTGAAGCAAAGTAAAATCTAAAGCAAAAAACAAACCAGAATTTGCATTCCTATGTGTTTTACTAGTGCGAACAAACTGAGCATAATTAAAAAGAAAAAAAGAAAAAAAAACTGCTTTGTTAATAGTAGCATGGAAAAGAAAGAATGGCCATGCGGATTGGAAGTTCAGATAAATCAATGTGTATTCTTAAAAGAAAGAATGGCTATTGAATAAGTTTCATGCTTATTAACCTGAACAGAGATAATAAACCGTCTTTCTGTTATATTTCAATTTTTACAAGAGGAAGAAAGGATAATAAAAGAAAAGAAAAAAAAAAAGAAATTGCATTAGCTTGTAAGAGGGTAGAAAAAGCACTTCCCTTGCATCTGTTATTTATCAGGGAAAATTTGAGTTTGATCGTATTAATTTATGATTTTTTATGCTGTTTGTTGGTTACATTTTAACAAACATCTCAGGATGGCATCAGCTTGATGGAGAGCGTACACAGTACCAAGTAACTTTTTGGCTCTTAAGTTTTCCAGATCTTACATCTTTCTCAATCTCCATAGCAGATTTTAATACATGTGATCACCCTTCCAGGGAATTCTCAATAACCTGTATGACTGGAGGCTATAGGCATGTCTTCCAGAARCCAATTGACTTTGATTGGTATGCTTGATTTTTTTGTATCAATAAAACCTTATTTCCATATCATTGTTAATAATGAGTTCTGGGTCTTCATTTAAATTGCAGGGAATTGATCCAGTATATAGATGGTAATGTACCCTTGGTGGAGACAGATTTGGATGTTATTGCAAAAACTGGACCTGTACATAATATCAGAGAAGAGGGTTGCACTGATGCAGGTGGGGACAAGATTTGCACTACTGGCTGTGCGAAGCTGTCAGTGAACCTAAAAAATGACACAACGTATACACAGTACGATAGTGAGGCTGAGGATGAGAAAGAAGTGGGACTGCATGGTAATTGTGGCCATGGTTGTGATGCTCGGGAACCCCAGGTGGCTCTGAAATTAGGCTTTACTCTTCCAGCTTCTTGTTATGCCACAATGGCCATAAGGGAGCTGCTAAAAACATCAACTTCTGTATGTTCTATCGAAGCTTTTGCAGATGTCCTGTTTTAATCTGGGTTTGAATCATAGTGCATCAAGTATGCTACATTTTATTGTTGTCCTAATTGACCTGTATGTTTCACATGTGATCATGCTTTAGGCTGTGTGCTTGTAAAGGGATAATGAATATGGGGGCATTCTTAATTAACCACTAAAATGTGCAAACTTGTGCTACCATGTGTATGTTTTGCATATTTGAAAGAACTACATTAAGTGATGCTTTAGTTAGATTTACAGTGATTGGATATAACAGAGAGTATTGGGGGAAACTGAACTAGCTGATATCCCCTTTCGGCTTTTTTCCATGTGCTGTGGAAAGTTGACTTGTATTGTAGGAAACTTTATTCTTTAAGCATGAAATGGGCATCCGGCTTGATGTTTCTAGTCTAGACATACTACATTCTGTCCTTGAATGCCTGAGTAATATCCATAAAAAAAAATTAGAAAAAAAAAAAGGCTGAGCAATATTGATTTTTCCTTGTCATATGCAGGTTGCCTTTCAGAAAACACAGAACCACTAATTTTTCACCAATGAAGATGTAGGGTGTCTTGGAACTTGTATATGATATTTTCTTGGAAATGATAAATCGGATTACGTGATAACTAACTGCAGGGGGAACGTGAAAGTTGCAGGTAAGATTCGCCCCATATGTTTAGAGCCTACCTTCTTTAACTTGATTTTTATGTATGTGTGTGTTTATGTTTTATTGGCAGCATGATAATATTTAGGCACTTATCTGGTAATTGCATTCACCCATGTTCTTTTATTTCCCAGGTAAATAAAATAATGACCATTTTAGCCATAAAAATTCCATTATTAAAAGGGGCATTTTTGTCCCATCCAAGTGTTGACAACTTTCCCCTAGATGGAAAAGTTAATTTACCTAGGAAAATAAACTTTCCCTGGTCCCCACATAAATCTGAAAAGAGAACATCGGTTTCTTGGTACAATGGTTTCCCCGTAATTTATCGGGAATTAGTGGAAATGATATATTTTATTGTTTTGATTAATGGGTAGGTGTTTGATTCAATTATTCCTCTTGAGTTCATGCACCCCTAGTTCAATCTAGTACTGGTCTTGCACACTAGTAAAAAATGACACTAACTTTATCTTCCTGACATGTGTATAATGCAATGATGGACTGATAGCATAAATTCTGATGTGTTGCATATGTACTAGCGTTAGTAAAATATCATGCCGCGAAAGAAACTTCCCATCCAAAAACAAAATTTTATTTGTTATTAGGTGGATCGAGAAACTGCATACAGCCACGCACAACAGAAAGCAAAATAAAATCCGCTTTTTGCTAGACAACCAAATGATGAAATTTTTTTTGTACGTACCCCATATCCAATTTGTCTAATAAGTAACGGGTGAAAGTGAAACCCTAAAATAATTATGACTCTTATGGTTTGCGCAGTCAAATTGCTATTGCATTCTCCAGGAGCTGCGAAAGGTTACGTTTGGAAACGATGCAAATAAGTGTGAATGTAAATATGTAGAGTGTAAAATGGTTCATATAAATTGCAAAGTTGTATTAGTTTTACACTGACAAATTTATCTTCTTAGACTTTTAGCTGTAATTGATGCAAACATGAATTTCAATAAAGCATATGTTTTTTTTTATCCAAAGCCCACATGAATGCAAATTTATTTCTTTTTTATTGAAGTACTTTTACATCTTATTATCAATGTAAGTATGCATTGGTCTGTCATTTGTCAATGCATAAATGTAATGTTGCCAAATACAGGCAAAAGTGAACCAGAGTGCAAATTTACCCTAAATCAGGATTTATAAACGCAACCTCAAGGATGATTCTTTTTGAGTTAGTTGGCATTCGTTGGCAGAAGCAAGTCAACGCTCTGTGGTAACCAAGGAGATTTCAATCTAGTCAATTTCCAACATGTCTAGTTATGCGGTTATGTTCCCAGCTTCGCCATGGACGCTTAGCAAGCCCTCTAGGCTATAGGTTACACCTAGATATCGTACACAGTTACAGGCAGTAACATTGCTTTACTTTCATTTACTAAGCTGGTGTTTGGAATCCATGCATTATTTCTGTTTGAAAAATGACCCCATCAGCATCACATTTGAAATCCATTTTTTCAGAATATACCTGATGTTTGGTTATGGCATGGAAAGAGTTTTGACCAATCAAAACCCACCCATGAATTTTGATTAATAACACCTAATTCGCTATCATGTTTATGATTCCAATTGATTGGTCAAGTGTTTTTTAGATATCATATATTTTTTATATCATAGTTGAACCCTGTTTCTTTACAAAAAATGATTTCTCATATCATACTTTGGGAATTGGTAAAGGTGTGGTAGGAGAAAATATCCTTTTCAATGTATTTTTTTTCTTTTAACAGTACGAGAAAATATCCTCCAAATAAAAATGAACAAAGAATAGTATGGAAATTAGTTAAAGGAATTGCCTCCCATACTGATGGAGCTTGGTGTGTTGTTAGGGACTTAAACAATTTCAGGTCATCTGAGAAGAGAGGGGGTGGGGAGGTTCGTCCCAGTCTGATCAATATTTTTAATGAGCTCATTCATTGCAATCTCATGGACTTGGACATGAAAGGCAACCATTTTACATGGAAAATAACAACACCATGGAAAGGCAACCAGTTATTGACTTGTGGAGGAGATTATTCCCCAATGCAAATCTCATTAATTTACCTTTCCTTGCATTTAATCTTTCTCCTCTATTACTTCATACTAAATGCATGCCTTCGGTGGGCACCAAACCTTTTATGTTTGAAGCCATGTGATGTTTCAATCCAAACATTGGGAAAGTAGTGAGGCAAGCATGGAGTTAAGGTGTCAACGGTTAAAGAGATTTTTAATTTGTTGGGAAAAAAAAAAGAAATAGCCTCATTAAAGTTTTAAAATATTGGAATATAAATCATTTCGATTACGTGTGTAAGTCGGGTGGGTTGGGYCAGGTTTATGATCAACCCGAGCCTGATCCTAAAATTTGAGATTAAGGTTTGAGCCCAAGGTCAAGCCCGATCTTCCCAACCCGAGCCCAATCTACACTGTAATTTGATGCACTTGGGTTGTGTTCGGGACCAAGATTTGTTCATGGGTCGGGTCGGGATTTCACTCTATATTAATAGATTTTTCTAAGGCCCAAGCCTGAGCCCGGTCCGACCGTCGGGCCTACAACTTGGGCCCGAGCCCGGCCCTCATAAAAAGCCCGAAGCCCGGGCTTGGGCCCGAGCCCAAAATTTAGCCCATACTGTTACTACTATTGAAGCAGCTGAATAGAGAGAGATTATAAAGATAAGAATAAAAAATGTATATATTAAATTATAAATATATATTTTAATAAATATTATATTATTTATATATTTTATATAATATATAAAATACATATTATATATTTTATAAAATATATAATGCTGAGTCGGGCCAGGCCGGGCTTTTTTGACAAATCCNTATATATTTTATATAATATATAAAATACATATTATATATTTTATAAAATATATAATGCTGAGTCGGGCCAGGCCGGGCTTTTTTGACAAATCCCGAGCCCGGCCCGAAGCACAGTCAGGCTTATTGTGTTAGGCCTAAGGTCAGACCCGCGGGCCTAATTACATGACTAAGCCCGACTGGGGTGCGGGCTGGGCTGGGCCAGGCCATCGGGCTACCCGGCCCATGAACAGGTCTAGGCCTGAGCCAGGCTCGGGTTGGTCAATGASCCCATACATACATATGTATGTATAGTTGGATTGGGCTTAGACCGAGTTTGGGCTACTTAAGGGCTAGGCTCAGGCTTGGACCAACAAATAAAAAAGCATAACTTCTTAGGCCTTAGTCTAGCCCAAGGACTAAAAATCCAAGTCCAACTTGTGTAAACTTTAGGACTGGGCCTGCCCAAGTTGCATCCCTAATTTTGGTGATCTTTTCAAAAGAAAACAAAGTATTATGACTAGATTGGCATCTCAAAAACAAATCATTGGAGACCTAATAATATTGCTTTTCTAGATTTTGAGGGTGCTCTCCAAAAGCAACTTGATAATATCGTTGCTTGTAAGGAAGCCTTTTGTGTCCAAAAATCTAAAATTGTTTGGATTAAATGGGGGGAATAATAAACTTCTTTTCACACTACCACCACTATTAGAATATCAATGAATAGAATTTTGGCTGTGAAAAACAATGAGGGATCTTGGAATAGTGACCAAACGAAAATCTCATATTATTTTAGTGACAAGTTTGTTCAAAGATTCAAATCCGAAGGTACTAATGAAATCTAGAATTTTATTAGAGAAATAAATAGTTGGGTTAATTCTTGAAGTTCTTGGAATGATCAAGGAGCTAAAAGCCCCAAGGCTAAATGGGCTGAATGCTCTTGTTTTACGAAAAAAATCTGGAATATTGTTGGGGAAGTTGTGAAATCTTTCTTTCATAGTGGAAATTTTTGTGGGATCATAAATAAAATGTTTATCACCTTGATCTCAAAAAGTAAGAATGTGAAAACTATAAAAAAAAAAATACCCCCTACAAGTCTTTGTAATGTCATCTATAAAATTATAGCTAAAATTTTGGTTAACAGGATTAAGCACCTATTGGATAATATCATTTTCCCATTTTAAAATGCTTGTATGACTAATAGAGAAATTAATGTTAACATTCTCATTGCCCATGAAATATTTCTTGCTATATATATATATATAAAAGAGTTCAAGCATGATGGCTTGTAAAATTGATATGGAAAAGGCATATAATAGGTTGGAGTGGGAGTTTATTGAAAAAGTGCTTGAAAAGTTTGATCTTTATGAGAAATAGGTGTCTTGGGTCATGGAGTGTATTATGACTGTATCCTATCAGATCTTAATTAATGGTACCCCTCTAAGAAATTCAAACCTACTGGAGGATAGCGAGCTTCCTTTTGGGTTCTCTCTAGCATCTCTCTTTTCAACCCCATTTTTGAGATTTTTTTCTAATATCAAGTTGGTATTAGAGCACTCTTCCTTCATTTAGGATTCTCCAATGGTTCATGGACATGCACATGGTGGACGTGGTAATCCTCTTCCACAAGAACAAGACCTTCATGATGTCGAAATGGATGGTTTGAAGAGGCAAGTGCAACAATGCTAGAAATGTTTAAAATGTTTTGAAGCCTTGAGTTATGATGAGCCCCGTTATCATTTAGAGGATGAATGTTCTAATGAAGATGAAGAATAAATTAACTCCTGTTCTGAAGAAATGAGCGAAGAGGCTTTTCGTCATCATCATTTTCAAAGGAATGATAGCTTCCAACAAGATTTCAACATCAAAATGGAGATGCTAGAATTTGAAGGAAGGATGCA